TTGTGAATAAAATAAACCAAAAAATGATATCTGTGTAGAAAAACCAATGACAGAATCTTGGCAAGGCATATTGTTTCCTATTCTGACTTCCTAAAACATCTACTATTTGTAGGACACATCCTGGAACCTCGTAGACGGCTACACACCAGTGTTCTGTTGTTTTATCCATGTCTCGTCAATGTTTTTATAGCAGTGTGTGCTTACCTGAAAATAATTCCCTTGAAAGACCAAAAAGCTTCTCTAGGAATGTACATGTACTGGCTGGCACCCTGGCTAGCATACTGGAAGCCCTCAACACGTGCTTAACTAGATATACTGCTTTCCTAAAGAAATTACAAGCTCAGCATAGACTGTATCTATTCTTCAAGGCTGAATAATGTGGGAGTAGGAACCAGGAAACCTAAGACCTATATTTAGGCTTTCTAATCATTAGCTTTGTGCTTCTGGATTACAGTCACTTATCCTCAGTTTCTTCACTTGTAAAATGGGTTACAATGAGGATAAACTGAGATTAAGTAAGACAGTGTAAGTGAAAACTCTAAGCTGCTAAACAAATTTCTGTACTCCCTAATTTAAGTACCTAATATGTAGCACATCTTATTCTAATTTCAAGTACGAGAACCATTATTTATAAGAGCATAATGAACTTGCACGGAATTGAACTGAATCTCCTACATCCATCAGTCACCATGTCCTGTTGATTCCACTCCCTTAATGTAGCATATAATAACATGACAAGAGCAGACTATGGTACTAACTGCCTGGAGTGGAGTTCCAGCTCCATAACTCAATAGCTCTGTGACCTTGGACAAGTCACATGACCTGTCTGTGCCTCAGTTTTTAAAATAATCTGCATAAAAAGGAATAACAATAGTGCCTACTTCATAGTTATTGTGAAGATTGAATGAATTAATATACCCAAAGCACTTAGATTAGTGCTCACTGCTCTCAAATCCATCCCCTTTTCTTTCTCCACTGTTGCTCCTTAGTTCACCCTCAAACTTGGTGTCTCTTGCTCTGGTCTTACCCTTCTGTGGTCCAATCATCTCATTCCCCTGCTTTCATGAATACATTAAAACTTTTAGTTCCCAGCCTGAGTAGTTCTCTATAGTTCCCCAAACAAGCCACATTCTCACTCGCCTCTCTGCTTTGCACAGGTAATTTTGGCCTTTTGCCTAGAGAGTCAATTCCTTTTCCCCATTCCTCATCTCAAGCTTTGCTGGGCTGATTATCACTAAGCTTACAGAACTCAGTTATACTAATCACTTCTTCTGAGAATGCTTGTATAATACTGGCAGACTTCTTTGATCAGCCCTCTTCTGAGTGCTAAGGCAGCTCTTCTGGCATTCACCCCTCTTCTGAATGAAGTTAAGGGTTTAATTCTTTGTCTTCCTCTTAAATTAGAGAGTGACTCAATCTTCCTAACTGTGGCAGCCTACATATAATTGGTACTAATCACGTTTATGGTAAAGAATGAATAAAATACAAAACTAATTTCTTTCTTGAAATGTTTAAGTAAAAATTTTTCACTGATTAAAAATGCTTTGCTGGGGG